GGTACAACCATTGTGGGAAGCAGTATGATGATTCCTTCAAAAGTTGGAATTAGAAATACCATTTGACCCAGCCATTCCATTACTAGGTATATATCTTAAAGAAGTGAGAGCCATGACAAGAACAGACATATGCACACCCATGTTCATCGCAGCATTATTTACCATAGCCAAAAGATGGAAACAACCTAGTTGTCCATCAACTGAGGAATTGATAGGCAAACTATGGTACATACACACAACGGAATACTATGCAACCCTAAAGAATAATGTAGAATCTGCGAAACACTACATAACATGGATGACCTTGGAGGACATTATACTAAGTGAAATAAATCAATCACAGAAGGATAAATATTGTATTAGTCTGTTATTATAAAAAGTCAAGGAAAGGTCTGTATACGGAAGGAAGTTTTCTTTGTTGGTTACTAGGGGCAAGAGGGGAGAAGAGGGAATGCTGCTAGATAGGTAGAGACAAGTATTGATTTGTGTGAAGTAAAGGGCAATGTACCAATGTGAGTGATCAACATGGTAGCAATGAGGAAGAGGAAGACACAGAGAAGTGCATGGGAGGTACAGGCAATAAAGATGAACACTTTTGCACATACAGTACTGTGTTGTCAGTGAAGGCAAACATGGGTATATGGATGGATAGATGGGTGGACAGGGTAAATGATTAGGTATGTCTGTGAAATGGGGAGTGTATCCAAGAACATATATATATATACTTGTATGCCAGTATTCATTGCAGCATTATTCACAATAGCCAAAAAGGTATATATAGCCTAAAAGTCCATTGACGGAAGAATGGATAAATAAAATATGCTGTATGAATTAAATGAAATAAAACTCAGCCATAAAGAGAAGTGAAGTCTTGATATATGCTACAACCTTGGTATGTTGTACTGAGTGAAATAAATCAGTCACAAAGGGATAAATATTGCAATTCCACTTGTATGAAATATCTAGGATAGGCAAGTTTACAGAGACCAAAATTTTTTAATGGTTACAAGGGGTGGGTAACATGAAGAGCAAAGGTGGGGTTAGGGGACACTGAGCTTCACTTAAGTGTGATGGGAAAATTTGGAAATTGATCATTGTAAAGGTTGAACAACATGATAGACATAATTCATGTCACTGAATTGTATATTTGAAGAATGTTGAGGAGACAAACTTTAGTGTATATGTTTATCGCAATAAAATGTTTGTATTGGAAAAAAAAAAAAAGTACTAGAAGAAACATAAAATGTGATTCCATATAAAAGCAGTTGAAAAAGTGACAAAATAATGTATTGTATTGCTTAGTGATAAATACATATGTGGTAAAATTTTAAAGTAAAGCAAGAGAATAATTAACACAAAATTCCAGAAAGATATATGATTGGATAGGGGCACTCGGGACTTCAGAAGGACTGGCAATGCACTCTTACTTATGCCAGATGGTGGATAGATAGCTGTTCATTTTATTATTTTTAAACAAACCATATTGTTATAATCTCTCTTTTTGGTTATGATTTCTTTCAAAATCAAAAATTTAAGTTATTTATTTTGCACATGTCTGAAAATTGTGATTATTGGTGAGGTAGCTATCTCCTGTATCAAATTCAAAAAGCTAAGGAATAATTTGATTTTCCTGTATCTTTGAAACATAAGATTTCCACTGGTATCCGCTTTAAAAGCTGCATTATAAAAGTTCTGGTGAATGTAGTGTACAGTCCTTCTGGACTCTAATCTCGCTCTTTCTTTCTTTCTTTTTTTTTCTTCCAGTCACCCAGTGAAGTTTATTCTTGGAAAAGACAATCATCTTTGAGTAAACCAAATGTCACTGTTAGAGGGTTCTATGGAGGAAGGAAGAAAAGAGGTGCTCCAAAACAGACGAATTGTGTGACTCTCTTAGATGCTAATCAGATCGTCAGGATTTTGCCTCCAGGAGAAGTCCCTCTAAAAGATGTCTACCCAAAAGGTAAGAAACTTATCAATTACTAACTTACCAAGGTGGGTAAGTATAGTTTGCTTTTGATAGGTAATATTTAATTTATTATTATCATTCTATATTTATAAGTGGGCATAGTGCCTAAGGCATTTGACTGCTAACCTGAAGGGTGGCAGCTCAAACCCACCAGCCACTCCTCAGAAGGAAGGCTGGGAAATTTACTTCTGTAGTGATACTGCCTCGGAAACCCGAGGAGGGGTCACTATTAGTTGAATTCTACTCCATGGCAGTAAGTTTGTTTGCTCTTTTAAAAAAAGTACAAATGCATGCCTCATATGCGTGTGAAAGCTAGGCAGTGAATTAAGAAGATTGAAGAAGAGTTGATGGCTTTGAGTTGAGGTGTTGGTGAAAAATACTGAAAGTACCATGGACTGCCAGAAGAACGAACAAATCTGTCCTGGAAGAAGTGTAGCCAGAAAGCTCGATAGAAATGAGAATGGCCAGACATCATCTCACCTACTTTGGTCATGTTGTAAGAAGGGGCTGGTCCCTGGAGAAGGATATCATGGTTAGTAAAATAGAGGGTCAGTGAAAAAGGAAAAGATCCTAAATGACATGGATTGACACAGTGGCTGCAGCGATGGGCTGAAGCATAGCAAGGATTGTGAGGATGGTGCTGGACCAGGCAGTGTTTCATTCTGTTGTACACAGGGTTGCTGTGAGTCAGAGCTGACTCGATGGCACCTAACAACAACAACAACATGTTTATAAATGAGGCAGTCATGGTTCAGTGGCAAAATTCTCACCTTTCATGCAGGAGAGCCAGGTTCAGTTCCTAAACTATGCACCTCATGTACAAACACCACCTGTCTATCAGTGGAAGCTTGTGTGTTGCTGTGATGTTAAGCAGAGTTTCAGCAGAGCTTGCAGACTAAGATAGACTAGGAAGAAAGGCCTGGTGATCTTCTGAAAATTAGCTGATGAAAATCCTATGGATCAAAATGGCTGAACCACAACCGATCATGGGGACAGCACAGGACCAGGCAGCATTTTGTTCCATTGTGCACAGGGTTGCCATGAGTTGAGCCAGACTCAATGGTAGCTAACAACCACAACAGCATGTGTATAAACATAGATAATGCCAAAAAGACATATTAAAAAAAAAAAAAAAGCCCATTGCTGTCAAGTCGATTCCAACTACATAATGACATTGTTGTTGTTGTTGTTGTTGTTGTTATGTGCCGTCGAGTCAGCCCCGACTCATAGCGACCCCTCCTTGGGTTTCCGAGGCAGTATCACTACGGAAGTAGGATTGCCCAACCTTCCTTCCGAGGAGTAGCTGGTGGGTTTGAACCGCCAGCCTTCTGGTTAGCAGTTAAGTGCTTTAGCCACTATGCTACCAGAGCTCCTATAATGACATTAGAGGACAGAATAGCACTGCCCCCATAGGGTTTCCAAAGCTGTAATCTTTACAGAAGCAGACTGCTACATCTTTCTCCCACAGAGCAGCTGGTGGTTTCAAACCATCAAACTTTAAGTTAGCAGGTAATCACTTAACCACCATGCTCCAAGGGGTCCTTCAATAGGGTATAAAAGTGGCTAAAAAATTCATGTGTACTCAGAAAGTTCTCCCTCATATTCCCCCAATGTGTGGTTATAGCTATTACTATTAGAACTCATTTTAGTTTGTATTACAACCTGTACAATAACTTTACTTACTAAGTTTTCAAAAGATATTTTTAAAAATAAGTTGGATATTAGGCATAGACATGGGGGGCCTAACTTTTGTCTTCAACTCCCTGCAACAGAAGGCCAGGGAGATAGGCAGACTGATTCAGTTCTCAATGCTCTCAAAGTCAATTAGATCTGTTACTACATAAGAAATGCCAGGTTCTGTGCTGATCACTTATATAAATTCATTTAATCTTCAAGACTCCATGGTTTAATTAGTATACTCTCTAATTTATGTGAGGATACTGACACAGAAAGATAAAATAACTTGACCATTCCTCAAAAAACTAGAAATAGAAATACCTTATGATCCAACAATCCTATTGCTAGGTATATACAACTAGAGTTCTAGTAAAAGATACATGTACAGATATATGCACACCTATGTTCATTACAGCATCATTAATAATAGCAAAAAATAGAAACAGCCTAAGTATACTTCATGAATGGATTAGCAAATGGAATACTACACAGCCATAAAGAATAGTGATGAATTCTTGGAACATCATATAACACAGATGAATCCAGAGGAGATTATGCTGAGTGAACTAAGTCAATCACCTAATCATAAATATTATATGATCCCACTTTTATAAGAAGATAATAATAGATATATATACAAAGACCAGTGTTCTTTGGTGGTTACCAGGAATGAGGGGGAGGGAAATCACACTTTAAGTTGTAGATACTTACTATTTTTGGTGATGGGAAAAGTAGCACCAAGTGTGGGTATAATAAACACAGCTTGATCAAAGTAAACAATGCCACAAGAGGCACTCAAGAGAAAAGGTTGTTTGTGCTGAAGAGTATAACAAGCAATTTAGCAACAACACCAATAATAACCAAAAGCAAGTGTATAGTCACATATGTATGTGTATAGGCATATATGTATGTGGGTAGGTACAGGTATGTACATATGTGTGCATGGAAAGAAGTAACTAGATGACCTCTAAGAGGTCTGGTTGCATTGTGGTTAAGGCATTGGGCTGCTAAGCAAAAGTTAGGCAGTTCAAACCCACCAGCCGCTCCTTGAGAGGAAGATGAGTTGAACTACTTCCATAAAGATTTATAGCCTTGGAAACCCAATGGGGGTTGCCATGAGTCGGAATCAACTTGATGGCAGCAGTCTTGGTGGGCCTACGTATGTCTACATACAATATGTGTGTGCATACATATATGTTCATAGAAGACACAGATATAGATACTTCTCAGATATAACCAAACACCTTGTGATTGTAGTTTTCTGGACTTGAAGGCTTAGGACCTTAGTATTAAGGGACGACTCAGTCAATTGACATAATATAATTCACAAAGTTCATGTCCTGCATCCTGGTGAGGTGAGTCACATCTAGGGTATTAAAAGCTTGTGAGCAGCCATCTAAGATACAAGTATTTATTTCTATTCATCAGGAACAAAGAGAAATAAGGAAACCAGTCTCAGAGAAGAAACTAATCTACAGAAAATGTCCTTCATGAGCCATCTACCTCGAGAATCAGAGGACTAGATGGTACCCGGTAGCAATACCAACCGTTCTGATCAGGGCCACAATAGATGAACCCTGATAAATGGGAGAAAACGCAGAACAGAAAAAAAAAATTTTTAAAAAGTCCAGACTTACTGGACCAGTTGAGACTGGAGACTCTTTGAGACTATTGCCCTGAGATACTCTTTAGACCTTGATTAGAAATTATCCCCTGAGGTCACTATTTAGTTAAAGTTTCGCACACAAAATCAAAGATATTACTTGTAAGTATGGTGCTCCATTGAAAACCATCTATATGAGACCAAAAGGTCAACAATGATTCTAAGTCACAGATGAGAAGGAGACTGGGAAACTAGAGTATAGGAAATGAAACAATCAGAACACAGTTAAAGAGAATATTGACAGATTGTGAAAAATGTAACTAATATCACTGAACAATTTGTTGAGAAACTGTTAAATAAGACCCTAAGTGCTATGTGAACTTAAACTGAAAACACAAAAAGTATTATTAAACAAAAAAACATAATAACAGAGCCTAGATTTGTGCCAAAGTCTTCCAATCCTAAATCTAGATCTATTCTTGTAGAACCATACTGGCTTTCATCATAATTTATAAATTTTTAACAATTTTGATCATTGGATCATTTATTATTATTTGCAACATATAGTGATAATAATGTCTTATCCTGTGTTTACATTCAACATACTGTGAACTTTACGTATATCGTGTTAGATATATTATAATCTGTTACTCGACGGCACTTAACAACAACAACAACAGGTTTAAGGGAGCCCTGGTGGCACAATGGTTAAGCACTTGGCTGCCAACCAAAAAGTCAACAGTATGAACCTACCAGCCACTCTGCAGGAGAAAAGACCTGGAGATCTGCTCCTTTAAAGATGACAGCCTAGGAAACCTGGATGGCAGTTCTACTGTGTCCTACAGGGCTGCTATGAGTCAGAATTGACTTAACAACACATAACAACAACAATTAGTAGGTTTGAAAAATCCTGATTATATGATACTGTTTAGAATGAATTCCTTCCAACTGAAAACTATGTAAAATAAATCATTATTTCCCTGAAATGTTTATTTTTCATTAAACAAACATTTACTGGGCTTCCACTGTGTGAAGTGCTGGGGATGGAGTACAAACAGTCTCTTCTTCATGGAGCTTTTCTGGCTGCTAGGGCAGGCAGAGGAATAAACTGACAGTACATTGCAGTACAGTGTAATTAATAAGTGTATGATATGTGATATGTAAACACAAACGAGATGATTACAAGCCAGGCTGGTGATCATGAGCTGATTCCTGAAAGATGATTAGCAGTTAATCAGCTAGAAGTATTGTTCTAGGCAGAGGGTGAAGCATGTGAAGGGACAGGGCGTTGGCAGAGCATTCCTGCAATTACAGGACGTGTTGCACCAGGGCTTAGTGCACTTTCATCTATCAGAAACCTGGGGTCATTCTGACACTTCTTCTCCCTTATCCTCCACATCTAATTCATCATCAGTCACCGTGTCCTTTTGATAGTTGCTGTTGAGTCAGCTCCAACTTCTGGTGACCCCAGGGACAACATAACAAAACATGACCCAGTCCTACACAATAGGTGGTTTGTTCAAGGCCGTTGTTTTTAGCCACCATGTACTTTGAGTGCCTCCCAACCTGGAGGGCTCATCTTCCAGCACTACCATCAGACAAGTTGTGATCGGTATACAGGGTTTTCATTTTGGCTGATTTTCAGAAGTAGATTACCAGGCCTTTCTTCCTAGTTTGTCTTAGTCTGGAAGCACCACTAAAACCTGTCCACCAT